TTGATATAGTCCCATTCATTTATTTTAGCTTTCTACTTCCCTTGCCTTTGAGGTCAAATTCATAAAATGCCCTCAGAACCCAAGGTCCATATGTTTAGTACCTATGGATTCTTCTGTGCAATTTATTGTTTCAGGTCTTATGTTTAGGTCTTTCACCCATTTTGAGTTAATTTTGGCATATGGTGACAGATAGCAGTCAAATTTCATTATTTTGTACATGGATTTCTAATTTTCCTAGCACCATTTATTGAAGAGGCTTTCTTGTCTCCATTGTACGTTTTTGGCTCCATTGTCAAAAATTATCTGCCCATATATATGTGGACTTATTTCTGGGTTTCCAATTCTATTTCATTGTTCTGTGTGTCGGTATTTCTGCCAATACCATGCTGTTTTGATTATTGTTGTTTTGTAGTATAAATTGAAGTCAGGGAATGTGATACCTCCAGCCTTGTTTTTTTTCTTAGGATTTCATTGGCTATTCGGGGTCTTTTGAGATTCCATACAAATATGATTTTTTTTGGTTCTATTTCTTTAAAAATACCATTGGTATTTTGATGGGGATTGCCTTAAATCTGTATATTGCTTTGGGTAATATGGCCATTTTAACTCTGTTGATTCTTCCAATCCATGAACGCGAAATCTCTTTTCATCTCTGTGTCTTCTTTAGTTTCTTTTAATAAGGTCTTATCATTTTTAAAAGTGCATAGGTCCTTCAAATCCTTTGTTAAGTTTATTCCTAGATATTTTATTCTTTTGGTTGCAATTGCAAAAGGAATTTTTTTCACTTTTTTCTGAAATTCCAGTGTTAGCATATAGGAATGCAACAGATTTTTGTACATTGATTTTGTATCCTGCAACTTTACTGTATTTGTTTATTCTAATAGTTTTTGGTAGAGTCATTAGGGTTACCTATATAAAGAATCATGTCATTTGCAAAAAGTGACAATTTAACTTTTTCATTTCCAATTTGGATGCCTTTTATTTCTTTCTCTGTTTTTTACAATTTAAAGTGTTGTTCCAAAATAAATAAATAAATAAAAAATAAATAAATAGCAGGAAAGAAGATGAAAGAGGACATTGGACTGAGAGGTACTTGGCTGGAAGAGCCTAAAATATTTACTGTTTCGTACTTTATGGAAAAAGTTTCCCTCTCCCTCTTTCTTAGGCCATCTGAACTGTTGTTTGAAGTATAAGAAACATTTAGTGTATATGGTGGGAAATTTTCAGTTATTGAAATTTCAGTGATGTTTAGGTCATTCAAAATTAGCCTTCCGAATAACTTGCAATATGTTATAAAAATGCTCTAAGTCTTCACTGTATATTTAACAATTTATAGGACAGTAACTCTGAAGTAGCGCCAGTGATTTACCATTATATAACATTGCTCTTAGCTTTGCAAAGCATAAAGCTTATCAATTTACATAAATGCTGTGTTAGTAAAACAAAACAAAACTATACGTCTCAGCATATATACAAATCACAGCCAGTAAAGGAGGTTTAATAGAAATGACATATAATTCACAAGCTTCTGTAAATTGATTTTTCAGTCACACAATGATAAATTTGGCCTTTTTTATATATCCACAAAGCATATATTTTTCTGTGACATTTGTCTAAATGAAGGTTGAATTTTAAAGGATATTGTTCTGTTCAAGAGGGATTCAAATTCATTTTAATCTTTCAATTTTGATGCAGATTTTAAAATCTTAAGTGTTTTGTAAAAATCAGCTGTATTTCTAACACTATTTTTTCTTTCTACAGCTATGTGAGAAGCTACAGGTGAATGTGAAAGTCAAATTACATTTAAAAAAAAAGTCATTTTCAAGGCCTATGACATTGAAGCCAATGCTGCTAAAATGCACTGTAGCACACGAGTCTTTTTTTTATTATTATTACATTTTTGGGGTTAAACTGGTTAGTAAAATTACATAGGTTTCAAGTGTACAATCCTATAATACATCATATACATACTGCACTGTGTTCACCACCCAGATTAGACCAGTTCTTCATTTTTATTAGTGTTATTCATACTTTGCATTACTTGTATAAAAACTGCAGAGGCGCTCTAGCTAATGACCACAATAGGATTATGTTTTCAAAAATGTGTAAGAAAGAAAAATACTCATTTTTGTCAAAATGTGTGGAAACATAAATGAAGAGAGAAGTAAAGTATGCAGGCAGAATATGCTATCTAATAAGTGGGCCAGAAATTTAATGTACATCCAAAATGTAGTATGATAAAACTATCCAACTTTACATTTGATATTCAAATGTACAGTATCAAACATGAAACATGAATGTGCGGTCTTAGCTGGAAAAGTCTTTATTCCCAGCTGAGCATTGGATTCTTAAAGGTCAGGATGGAAGGAAGGAGGGCGAGCTTGTGACTTGGCCCTTGTTGGTCCTTCTTAGCTGTTCAGCATCAGTAAGTCCTCTCATTCTTTTGATGCCGAATTTCCCAATTTGAAGAAAAAAAAAATAGCATTCCTACCAAACAGGGTTTTCTGTGAAGTGCAAAAATACGGTGTGTGCTAGAACCCTTTAAATAATAAACGGATGTATAAATATTAGATGTTGTTTTTATTAAATCAATGGCTAGGACTTCTTCTCTGTTCCTTAACTTTTCCAAAAACTACGTGAAAGGAGCCATTTCACATGATGTTATGCTTTTGTATTCAAGGTAATGATCGGTAACGCCTACACGATTCTTTGGAAATACTTTAAAATTCTATTAGGATAATGTCGCAAATCTCAGTGAGCTGGGCAATGGAAAGAAGTGCATAATGCACAGTCTCCTGATGCTGTGAATGCTGACGAAAACACCCGTCTTATATCAGGCATTTGTTCACAAATAATGCACTCTCTGCACTCTGCAAAGCTAACGCTGGATAAAACACCACCCTCCGAAACATCTCAAATTCTCTGTGCGGCTTTTTAGTTTCATGGTGAAATCTCAAATGCAGAATATCTAAGTCTGCACTAATTGTCTTTCCCTTTAAATATCTCTGTGTTAGTCGACATTCTTTCAGTTGCTTAAAAAAAAATAAAATAAAAGTGAGGAAACAGGTCCAATCATAAAAAAGCCTAGGGCTTTCTCGAGCCAGCTCTGCGTTTAGATGCCGATGCGATGTCCCACTCTCTCTTCCTCTGATGTCCGGTCCAGAAGGAGATGCTCCTTTCTCAGTAGTTCTGGGTTTCCTTCTCTTTTCTCCTCTCAGGCCTTGCATTCGGGATCCCGGCTGTAGTAAGTGTCCTGTTGCTTGTCTGCAGCACTCACTTCCACACCACCGTTCTTCTCTTGTCCTTAAAGGACCCCACTCCACCTTGTCACCAGAGTACTCCATCCGTCATGTATTTTGTATTATGCTGTCGTCTTTGCTGTTCTCCTAGGAACTTCACTTTATTTAGGAAGGGGGATTTTAGGCCTCAATCTTCAAAATTATAAGATGGGTAACTTTCTTGCTTTAAACTCCCCAGTGGATTTCCTTCCAGCACATTTCAAATGAAATCTGTACCATGACCGTGGCCCACAGCCCCTCCTTGCTCTGACCCCTACCTCTCCAGCATCTCCCTCACTCTGTCCTTCTCAACTGTGCTCCAGAAACCCTGACTTCCTTACGGTACCCCGAACAGGCGAAGTATGTTCAAGGCATTTGCAATGCTGGCCTTTGTATATGCTATACACGTTATTTAATATATATACAATATATAACAATAACATATAATATATAATATAGTTAATATAAATTATAAGTTAATGTAACATATATATTATAATATATAATTTAGTATTGGTTTTATATATACGGGGGGTGTCATAAAAGTGTATACAAGTAGACACTTTGGTCAACATTGCTCAAGCAGTAATTCGCCATCATCAGAAGTGTCTGGATGCTGATGGGAACCACTTTGAGCACCTCTTGTAATTGCAGAAGTCAAACGTGACTTGTATTCACCTTTTTTTATTGGTATATATTGAGTATTACAATTTTAATATGGTTTTCCTTTCTTAAAATGTGCATACATTTTTGGGCACCCTCTGTATATATTCACTATATCTCTATTATTTGTTTGTTTATTTTACTGTATCTCTCTTATTTATCTGCCCCACTTTGCCCCTCTATGTACTTGAATAACATAAATGTCATGCAAACTGAAACTCGATCTCTCTTGTTCAGCCCTGTATCCGAGGGACTTGAGCAGTGTCTGGTACATAGAAGGCTCTCAGTTCCTGACTGAATGAATGAATGAGCAAGTGAATGGATCACTGAATGAGTGGGCAAATGACTGAGTTGTCCCAGCAGAAGTGCTAAAATTGAGTCTCACTGAGTTAGGCACCCAATTTTTAAATTGGGGAATTGGGAGAGGGGAACAGTGTTGGGGAATTGGGGAAGGGGACCAGCCAAGTTGCTGTTCTTCAATCTTAGTTGTGGAGGGCGCCAGTCGCCATCTGGCTGCCTGTCGGCAGCTCATGGCCTCTAAGCTCAAGGTGCTGTGCTCAATCTTAGTTGCAGGTGGACATAGCCACCATCCTATGCAGAGTCAAACCAGCAGCCTTATTGTTAAGAGCACACGCTCTATCCACTGAGCCATCTGGGCAGCAGCACAGCTCAAGGTGCAGCGTTCAGTCTTGGTTGCTGGTGGGTGTAGCCCACCATGAACAGGCAGTCGTGTTGTTAGGAGCACATGCTGTCACCAGCTGAGCCATCCTGCCACCTGTTGGCAGCTCGGCGGCAGCTCAGGTCCGGCGCAGCGTCACTGGCCCATGTGGGAATCTAACCGGCGGCCCTGCTGCTCAGAGCTCGCACTCTTGGGCACGCTCTTAACCAACGGAGCCCCTCAGCTGGCCCAAAGCTTCCTCCCCGTGCCCACTCGGATTGTTGCTGGTGTGCGGAATATAAAACCCTGCCATCGGCACAGGGCATTGAAGTGTGTTTTGGAGAACACGGCGGCTTCTGCAGGTATTTTCCGCTGATCCTTTCGTCCCGCTCTCCCTGCAGGCGTTCCCGGGGAACACCAACTCCGACGGCGTGGTCCGGCACGACCTCCAGCACCCGGTGGTGGCCCGCTACGTGCGCGCGGTGCCGCTGGACTGGAGCGCGGAAGGCCGCATCGGGCTGCGGATCGAGGTCTACGGCTGCGCGTACTGTGAGTAGCTCCCCCCACAGCTGTGTCTGGGGTCTGCCGCCTGCATGTACACAGCGACCTGTGCACTTTCAGTTGTGTGTCGTCGTTTGCTTTCTCTGACGGCAGACTGCCCTCTGTTTTTACATAGAAATAACGTGTCAGGGTGTCTGTATGTTATACATTCTGTATGTTATACATGTATATTTACATGTATGCACAAGCGCCCTTAGAAGAATGCCTTAAGAATATCTCAAGTAAAGGATTGGCAAGAGGTTTTGTTCCACCACAAAGCATATTAATTAAATTACCTAAAGTCTTATGAAATGTTTAGAATGTGGAAACCTATGCTATTCTCCATCTTTTTGGCTCTTTGTGATACATTTTGAATAGTCTTAAGAACGCCTTTTCCTTTCTTTGAGCTAAACATGCCACTCTTTTAAAGCCAAGCACTGAGTTTCAATGTCAGTTACAGTTTATAAGTTTGATTTTCATCTTTTTCATACTTACTTGGCCATCTAAAAAGTTTCATTTCCTTTAAGCCTCTTTTAAACTCCCTTTTTGTATTTCTTAAATACATTGTACATGTGTCTAATTATTTCAATATACGGACTTGGGGATTTTAATTCTGCTATTGTTTCTGCTTAAAGTGTGGCTTAAAATATGACATGTTCTGTAATCATTGCAAGTAGATTTGCAAAGTTTTGAGTTACTGCTGCCATGGGCTTTTCCATCAATCCTGAGCTCCGGCAATCATAACACGGGAGGGAAAAATACGTGAAGCTAAATAGGAAGCTAGATTTTCTAGTGTAAAAGCCTTTCTGGGAGAAAAATCATACGCTTTAGGAAACTGGATTAACATTTATCCCTATAGATGCCAGTGGAGTAAATGATAAATTGGCAGCATAGAATCAAATAAACTAAAATAGAAATGGGAAAATAGTGTTGTAGAGGTTTCAGTAAATTGGATAATGGCCTCTCAAAGATAGCAGGTTCTAGTTCCTGGAGTCTATAAATGTTACTTGATAAGACAATTGTTTGCTGATGTGATTAAGTTAATGACCTTGACATGGGGCGATTGTCCAGTGGGCTCCAGGTGCAGTCACAGGTATCCTTGTAAAAGGTAGGCAGAGGGAGGTTTCACAGACATAAAAGATGGAGGCGGGTGACCACCGGGGCAGAGATTGGACAGATCTACCCACAAGCCATGGAATGTGGGCAACCACCAGACGCTGGAAGAGGACGCCAGCAGATTCTCCCCCAGAGCCCCCGGAGGCCGTGGGGCCCTGCAGATAGTATTTCAACCCAGGGAAACGGACTTGGGACTCCTGGCCTCCAACACTGGGAGAGAACAAATCTCTTTTGTTTTAATCCACTGTGTTTTTGGTAATTTGTTGTAACAGTCACAGGAAATGAATACAAATGTGACTAAATAGCCCAGCGCAGTGCCCTCCAATAGAACTTTATACAAAGATGTAAGTGGTCCCTACTTCCTCTAGTCACCGGCCATGTGTAGCTGTCGAGCAGTTGACATGTACCTAAGACAATTGAGGAACTAGACTCCTCATGTTATTTCATTTTAATTAATTAGAATTAAAATAATGTGACTAATGGCTACCATATAGGATGATGCAGCTTAGAAGAACCAAAAACATGTGCTTCTTATTTTTCTTGTTACAATCTATACAAATTATAACATTTGTTTCTTTAAGTGACAGTCTCTAAATTTTTTCCCTTTGTTTGGGGGTGGGGCAGAAAAAGACAATCTAATCATCCTGGAGGCTATCTTAACTGTCAAATATGTGGTGACAGGTCATTTCCCTAATCAGCTTCTAGGTCAGATTATTTTTCATTTGTCTATTTTTGAAGAATGCAAATTATATGTATATCTTTCCCAAGAAAAATATACATGTTTATAATAAGAAAAAGATGAGTTAAACACACTTGTTATGGACAAGTTTCCCAAAGATACAATGATTTAAATTTACCTATACTGGGATTTGGACAGGAGTGAGTCCTTGGAAGATGGCCCTCTATGTTTCCTTGCACGTAGGGAACTGTTGCTTTGAGGGCCTTGTTTCATTTTTCAAGGAGAAAAGGAGTCGTGGATCTGTCAGTGGGGAATATAGATCAGACACACCCTCCCGTTTTGCCCTCATGTGAGTAGCAGGCACTGTGTACTCTGGGGTCCCAGCAAGGAGAGAAGCGAAGCTCTGATGACTCTTACGGGATTGAGAAATGAATTCTCTCGTCTTTTTAAAAACCCCGTAGGGGATTTCTCTAAGATTTATCTTAAACCTGCAGGTTAGGAGATAGGGTTGCACTACTTTTATTTCCAATTTTGCCAGAGGAACTAGAGAGGGAGAAATCTCAGTGTGAGCATTGCTCCTGTTGGAGAGTAGCCTATGGTAGTTCCCCTGGCGAGTGTCATCTTTCCTCTGTGCCATTCTTCCATGATCACTCTGTCATCTGAGAAATTAGGTGCCTCCCAAGGTTGAAGCATGAAGTTCACTCTAATCCAGGTGGAGCAGTTCAGTTCCAGACTGTGGCTTTGAAGTCTTTAGGGCTCTACTGGTTTTGTTTCCTGGCTTGTCTTGATGATGATAGGAATTCCAATTTCAGTGAATTTAAATGCCTTTTGGATTGTCCTGCCCCCTCTCTATTTAATGTCCCCTCAAGTTTAGTTGAAACAAGCACATGCTGTTATTTTGAAAACTCAGCGATATTCCCCATGTCTTTTGACTCATACGCTATCTCCCAAATGCTAATCTTCCTCTACACCAAAGGGACTACATGGAGCAGATGCGAGAAATCACAGTCCAGTCATAATAAAAAAAAATAATCATTTATGGCTGTAGTACTCAAGCATTCATTTAACTAAAGCCCACCCCACTGTACTAATGAAAGGAGTGAGCGTTTTCAGTGACAAGCACTAAATCAGCTTTAACCAGAGTCTTCATAAGAGTAAGGTCGGCACCTCAGGAAACCTGGATCCACACAACTGAAGTAATTTTATCTATGCCTTCAATTTGGATGAATAATTAATAAAGCCTAGATCCGTCACCCATTGCGAATCATGATGGAAAATAAGTTCTAGGCTGGGGAGAAAAATATCTCAGGAGACGCCAAATACAGACGAAGGGGGACAGTATTTTGTCCTGTTCATGCTGTGCTGAGAGTATTTTCTCATCAGTACCACAGACTTGTTCCCGTAGCTTTCTTGCTGCCTCGGCAAGAGAAACGGCCGTAGAAACATGTGTTCGTTTGCTAGGGCTGTCATAACAAATCACCCGCAAACTGTGTGGCTTCAGACAGCAGAGATTTATTATCTCACAGTTCTGGAGGGCAGAGGTCTGTAATCTAGGTGTCAGCAGGGCTGCTTCTCCCTGGAGACCCAGAGGGAGGGGCAGTTTCATGTCTCTCCCTGGGCTTCGGGTGGCGGCCCACTGTGCTTGCTGTCGCTTTGCGTGTAGCTGCATCATTCTAATCTCTTGTCTTTACATGGCCTCCCTCCCTCTGTGTGTCTGTGTCTCTAAATCCTCACGTGGCCTTCCTAGCAGGACACCTGCTGTTGGTTAGGATCCACCCTAACCCAGTGTGACTCTTTGTAAAGTAACCAGTCACATCTGCAAAGATCCCATTTCCAAAGAAGTCTACATTCTGAGTTTCTGGGTGGATATGAATTTTGGGAGGAACATTATTTAACCTGGTACAACATATATTCATTAAAGTTCATAAGAATTTCTGTTTAGATCAGCTTAGCTGGGCAGAGAAATAAGAAACAGTTCTGGAAGTCAACCTGTTTTGCTACTTAAATTAGTTGTTTAATTTTGTATAATATAAAAGGCCCCATATTATTATATTTTTGTTCGTCTCTCACACACACACACACACACACACGTACACGTGCATGGATGTGTGTGTGTGTGTCTGTATGATGTAAGAAGATTTATTATGTTGTTGGGGATCAATATATCATGACACAGATTCATCAATCCCATTAGCACTTATCGAATTCTATTTGTAAATCATTTTGCTAATTTTAAATCCAAACTGCTAATCTGGCTACATCATATCTGTACTTAAAAGACTTTAAAGATCTGGGCTGGCTGAGTGGCACCTTGGTAAAGAATTGGCTTGGGACGCCAGCTCTGAGCAGCAGAGTCGCCGGTTCGGATCCCACATGAGGGCCAGCGATGCTGTGCCCTCTACAGCTAAGATGCTGAACAACAGCTTAACCTGGAGCTGGGCTGCCGAGAGTCGCTGGCGATTGTGTAGGCTGCAGTAGGGCTGGCGGGCAGCTGGCGTAAGCTTTCGTGAGCTGCCAAGAGCCACCATGAATGGCCGTCCAATGGCTGGCAAGTGACTGCCTCACCCGGGAAGAGCACAACGATAATACCAACATGGGCCAGTGAAGCGACGTCCTCCACAACTAGACTGAAGAACAAAGGGACAGCAACTTGTCTGTTCTCCCTCCCCAATTACCCAATGCTGTTCCCCTCCCCTAATGTCCCAATAAAACCTTAACAAATAAAAGATTTTAAAGATCTAGATTGCCTGTAAAGTCCAAGTTGTTAGCTTGACATGTTAGCACCCTTCCTGTTACCTCTGTAGTCTTACACCCTATCGTGTCCATGGTACACTTCATGCTCCGCTAACACAAACTGTTTCTATTTCCAAATACATGATGTGCTTTTTAACACACCTTCATCCAAGATGGCCTCTTGGACTGCCATGACCTCTCCATCATTCGTCACCTGACCAATCTGTCTGATTTTCCAAGACTCAATTGAAATGCAATTTCCAACAAGACGACTTCTCTGAAGTTCCACAATGAACTTTTTCTTTTCTTTACTCACATTATGTGACTATATCCAGTGGAATATTTATCAAAGCATTCAAAACATAGCAGGCCTTAAGATATTGGGTGGGGGGGGAGGCACACAAACTCATCTTATTCATCATTGGTGTTTTCCATTAATTAGCAGACTCTCTGTATACAATCAATGTTTCCTGAAATGAAC